ATATCGCGTGCCTAATGCCAAAAGGGCGTATTACAGCAGTTAGATAGGGTTCCATACCAAAAGGGCGTATAAAAAAATTTTTTTTGCCATTCTTTTTAGAATCACTCGAAACGTAAAGATCTGAAGAAAAAAAATTTTTGACATACTAATGCCAAAAGGGCGTATCTTAAGATATACCCCCTTTTGGCTTTAGGAAATTATCGGTCTAAAGCCAAAAGGGCGTATAAAAAAAATCAGTATTTTTCAAAATTTTATAAAGTTGTATAAAAAAAATTTTGAAAAAATTAACATTTTCGATAGTATTAGTAACTTTAAATTTTCATCATCTTGGACAGACCCCAAAACCAATGATTAAAAAAGCATATGAATTGGAAATTTTTTCTCGTACTAAAATGTTCATATTTTTTATAAATTTATTTTTTTTCAGACGAAAATGTAGAAGATGCAGGTAGAGAATGTGCAGGAATTGTACCCCAATAAACTTTCCGTATTTTGATATTAGTTTTTTCTTGTATTTTTTTAACTTCGAATAATTATAATAATTTCTTGCCTGCTATAGCTGCAATAAAAGATATATTTTTGTTTAATTGTATACCTTAAGCGCGAGTGTAGGTATGCTTTACTCTCGCCTAAAAATTCAAACCATCGATTCCGTTGCGTAAAATTGTAGTTAAAATCCATAATATGTATATATAGAATGAAAAATAACTTAACGGGAAGTTAAAAATTATACGCCCTTTTTAACTAAATTTTCAGTTTTCTAAAGCCAAAAGGGCGTATAACTGGAGACATACGCCCTTTTGGCTTTGGAAATTTTTTTTTTTCATTTTTAGGCTTAGAACATGTTTACAAAACAATAATTATAATTATAACTTTGCATTGTCTACCAGGAACGATTTAGTAAAGTTATTTAAATTGCTAATTAGACTCATCTTCAAACTTGACCATGAAAATTGTATAAAAAATAGTTATACTCAATTGCATTAAGATCCGTTAAAAATTGTAGGCTTTATTAAATGTGTTTTATAAATGTATTTCGACGAGTTGAGTCGGAAAATAGCAAAATTTTTCAAAAGTTGCTTTATAAGGACAAATCGAGAATATTCTGACGTAACTTCTAATTGCTATTTAGAATGTTTAGATTATTCTTATTTTCTACTCCATAAATTAATTGACTATGTTCAATGAATGTTAAAGAAAAAAAAATTTTTAAAACTAAAAAAATTCATTTTAAAATTTGAAGTGAAAACAATTTAAGTAAAATAATTACTTCTTAATGTCTTGAAGCGTTAGGTAACTGGTGTAGTATGAACAAATTGTATCTTAATAAGTCAAAATGTAAAATCATCACGTTCAATCGATCCAGTACTGAGATTCATTTTCCATACGCGATTAATGGAGTTTTTCTTGAGCGTGTAAACAAATGCAGGGATCTGGGAGTGATTTTTGACTCACGTTTGACCTTCAATGAACATTACACGGCTATAACTCTTTCTGCATTCAGAACATTGGGGTTTGTTATCAGGGTAACTAAAATTATGAAACATGCAAGCACGGTTAGAGCTTTATATAATGCACTGGTTCGCCCCAAACTAGAATATGCGTCAGTAATTTGGTCTCCTAACCATAAGAAACATGTTTTAAGCCTTGAGAAAATTCAGCGCAGATTCTTAAAATAACTATCCTTTAAAATCAGTGGCCAGTATCCACCCACAGGTACTGACTATTACGAACTTTGCAGGAAAGCGAATATGCTTACACTAGAAGAACGTAGAATCTGTGCCTCAATTCTCTGGCTGAAGAATATATGCAGCAATCATACTGAGTGTCCTCAATTCCTAGCGCAACTACCATTTTTTGTTCCCACTGGTACCACTAGGTTCTCCCAACTGTTCAAAGTACCTACTGCCAGAGCAAATTGGATTCAAGCTTCACCATTGCACAGACTTACAACTGTTTGCAATCGTCTATTGTGTAATGACGATTGCTTATTAGATCTACTGGGTTACAATCAACCTCTTTCAATGAACTCTCTTGCATCCATGCTCGTATCTCTACGCAAAGATAGTCATTACTAATTTAAGAATATATCATATTTTTTAACGTTGCAATATAGAATATTTCTTGTCGTATAATGAGTTCTAAGTAATTTAAATATGTATGGAAATAAAATTACAACCTCCTATTGTATTATTTTGTAGATTATATAATACTATGATAATTTGTAAATCAAAGTCGCCATTCTGTATAGGAACATTGTATAAAGTGACCCTGTTAATGGCGTTAAGCTGTTGGGTCTTATTATAATAAATAAATAAATAAATGTCAATGAGTATTAAAAATTATTAGTTTTTAGCTTTGTACTTTGTCCGGATAATTTTATTTAAAACAGCTACAAGTTATAATTTAACTTTTAAAAGTATTTATATTACGACTGCTGAGCATTCGATTTTTTTATTGCGCTCATAAAATTCGTATTCTAACAAGCATTGTTAGCTCTTGGACTTTTTTAATTCGTTGCAGAAAAACTTTTAAATCTTTTTCTCTTATCCAATTTTTTTTCTTTTCCGTTAGTTGTTTTTTATTTTTTTTTTTTTTTTTTATATAAAATTCAATTTTTGTTGCTTTATTTTATTCAACATCAGAAAAAGAAATCTTAACACCTGCCGGTCGCTTGAGGATGTACGTTTTCAATCCGCTTGGGGTAAAAGTTTGGCATCTATCGTACACTTTTCTTCTCTCTCAGTTTAATAGCATACAGTTGAACAAGTTTGCTGGTGTAGTGTGTATAGTATATATAGTAGTTGCAAGGTGTAGTATTGCCGGTTGTAGTAGTAAAATAAAAGAGGGTAAAGGGTAGAGGGTAGAAGTAAAAGTATAAGCTGGTGTGTAGTATAAGGAGGCAACTTTTAAAAGTGGCATCACAAGGGCTTTGTGAGGGAGATTCACGGGGCTAAGAGCGAGTAAGAGAAATGCGGACGAGTGGTTGGCTGGATAGGAGAAGAATAGAATTAAAAATAAAGTTAAAGATAAAAGGTGAGGATAGAGGACGAGCACAAAAGCTGGTTGACTTACCCTCTTGCTCTGGTGCGCTGCTGATAGTAAAGGGGTGCCACTCGTACCCAGCGATCACTGGTATATTCACAAAGACGTAGTCGCCTGGACGAAAATCCAAATGGAGAGGTCGTTTGATCACCAGGTGCGTTACACGCGATGGAAGCAGAAGACCCGAACTTATGTATGTTTTACCGCGTTCAGATTGCAACCACATCAAACGACGCACTCGTTCCACCATGTAAATTGCTCCTGGTAGTACGAACCATTTCCAAAAGTTAGGCCCGTGGAATATCATTAGCACCCAGAAGGGGATGTACAGCAAATGAGTCCGGTAGAATATCTGTTTTTATAAATATTATTGTCAAGAGTTTTTTTTAGCCTATTTATTATATTTTTAATTGAATCGTTTATTTGAGAAACCCCATAAGTCAAAAATACTAAATGTTTCAGGAGAAGCAAAAAACATTTTTCTCCGTTAAGTTTGCACTAACATCATGAACCAATGATGAATAATAATAATGTTAGTATCCCTAAAAAATATTTGAGCATGAAAAAATTTAATTTTTAATTAACACTACTATTCATAATAATTATTTGAAGTTGATTTACTTATGGGGTTTCTAACCAAAACGAACAAAATAGTAATAAAATCATTAGTTTATCGATTTTTCGCCGCCAATCATTTATTATATTTATAAAATACAGTACAAAATATGTATTGGAACTACAATTAATGAAAATTATAATAAATCATCTATTTTTTAATTTAAATTAGTGAACGGAGAGTCAACAATAAAACAACATATTTTTAATTTTAATCCATCAAACGAATATTCTAAAACTCCTTAAAATTCGACAGTAAATTTAATTTCTAATTATCCAATAATCAATCATTTTAAAATTGAAGTCAGTGAAATCACATAAAAAAATAAAACAATAATTTAATTTTGTTTTTTTAAACCCATACTGTGAAAATGATTAAAATTTAAGTATTTTGCATTGAACTGAATTTTTTCTAAACAGAAAAAGTTTAAAAAAAACAAAAAGAAATTCATTTTTGGAATTTTGAAATTAGATGTTTATTCGAAAAACCCCATAAGTCAGTGACTTATGGGGTTTCTCAACTAAACGAGATTTATATCGACCGATTAGTTAGGTCTTGAACACGGATTTAATATTTTTTGGTGCTGGTATAAGTGAGGAGAAATTCAAAGAACCAAAAAAATAGAATAAACCCGATTTAGAAGAAAATATGACTTATGGGGTTTCCAAAATAAACGATTCAATTGTAGTGATAAATATTCTGTTAATTTTCGAGCACTTAAAAAATTTTTTCCTCAAGCTTTAATTTTTTTTAATTATCAAATGTTACGTCTTGCTTGTAAATCGATATTTTATTAATTTTAAACATTTTTTCTAAAAAAAAAAGAGAAATCAAAATAATAAAAAAATACATTAAGATAGTTGTCATGGTACAATATTGTCAAAAAATTAGGGATTATAATCCATAATTTTTACGCAAGACTTTACCCCTGGAGACGTAACCCATACAATTGTTTCTGTCCGACTCTGTAGATATATACTTTTTCGCATACGAAACGAATTATATAGTGGAATGTACTCTCCGGAACAGTCAACGATAAACTTTTTTCTTGCTAATCTGTCGCGCTATGACTGCAAAAAACTGTTTAATCTCACATGCAGGATTCTGGCTTTGAGAGAAACGCTCGTCTAGAAAACATGATAAACAGTTGAATACGCCACGATTTCTTACGTTTCTTTCTTTTCTTTTTTGTATCTCGGTCAACTAATTAATTCAATTTATATATTTAGTCAATGTGCGTGCTTAAACCTAAATTTGATTCCTAATTTATTTTATTGTATTTGATATTTTTATAAAATGAACACTTGAATATTAAAGCAAAATGTGATATTGTATGTAATGAAATTTTTTCACTCAAAATTATTTATTGCACCAAAATATTGTAAATATTGTAAAAATCTATTCCCCATTGCTATGGGACTCTGTACCCTTTATGCAATAAAATTTATATTATTATTATATTATATACTTTTTCATAAATTGTTGAACTTTAATCCGTTATTTATAAATAATTAGACGGTCAAAATTTTTTTTTATTTTTTCTTAAACTCACAACAAATACATTAAAAAGACTGTCAGTTGTTTGAAAGTTTCTGACAGTTAGTTTTTTTTATAACTAATAAACGGGTACAGAACTGTAAAGAGCGTATGCAATCAATGTTAAATATCCAATTTTTAATTGGATTCATCTCGGGTTATAGGTGGTCAATCGACTTCAAATTTTTAGGGTAATTGTATCATCGTATCCTTAATAAGTATACAAAAATTTAGAATTTTCTGATGACATGCCTTAACCACGACGAGTACCTTAAGTGTCTCGTCCGGCCCCTCGATAATTTTCCCGTCATTGGCTGGTCCCAGATGTGTTCAACATTCACAATTTTGATAAAAGTAGAAAAATTCTTGAGTCAAGAAATTTTTCTTGACTTGAGTAAATTTCATTTGATTCAACAATTTTTCGTCCTTATTCAAGACAGTGAAACTCTTATAATAATGATTTTCTTGGTTCAATAATTTCTCTTCTGAATCAAGTTAATTTTTTTTTTAGTATATCTCATTTGAACCTAGGTAGTTCTTGAAGTTAATTCATCATTTAAGTCTGAGTATTTTAAATCCATTGAGAAAAATTTTTTCTCTATTGGAAGTGTAGTCAATTATATTTATAACGAAACAAAATTTAAAAACTTGACAAAGTTATGTATTAGTAAAGTTTATGGGATTGTAGATTAAAAATATTCGGATTACATTTAAACTTCTTTATAGATGGCAGTGATCACAACTGTATAGAAAAATAAAAAATATATATATCAAGATGAACCGATTTTTTTAGTCACATGTTTTCTAACGGATTTACCAGTAAAAGCGGACAGTGAAGTTTAAAAATCTATTTATTGCTATTCTGTTATTTGTTTAGCCAGAGAGGTAAATTTTTCAGTAGAAAATAGAAAATATTTTTATACAAACAGAGTTACCCGTTAACTCGAAACTTTTGAATTCGAAAAATTTTTTTTCTCGTCTGTGTTAATTAAAGATAAAACCCAATATCTACATGTAAGCTTTTCTATAAAGGCATAAACCATCAGGCATTTTTTTCTGAAAAAGCTCTAGTGAATTTTAGTTTGCTAATAAGTGTAAAACAATAGAGAAGTTTTTACAATAGTATGTTGTGAAGTTTATTTTTGATAACGATTCTCTTCAATATTAACAAACAAACTTCAGCATGAATACTTTTTGTTCAATCTCATAACGAAATATTTTCATTTATAGAACAAAATGCAATATCAATGTCAAGTTAGTAAAAATTCTAAAATTTTTATATGAAATCAATAACCACAAAAAAAAATCTTTGATTTTTTTAGTGGGAAGTTAAAAAACAGTAATTTAAAAAATTCTTTCACCCGTTTACACAGGGGTTATTAAATGATAATTTATATTTTTTTTATGATTGCGCTTTTAAAACATGTAATTCGTGAATGTGATCATGTGGAAATTCCGAATAAATTTTTTAATATTCACATTGTTGTCTCGTACTGTACCATGTATGTAGAATAATGTTAAATTTAAATGAGCGCCGTGTTATTTAATTTTTTTAGAGTAAATTTTAAAATACAGATTTCATTCCCGACTAATTTGGTTCATTTAAATTTTAAGTTGGACAATTGTTCAGAATCAGTCATCAGAATTATAAATCGTAAACTGAATTTTCATAAAATTACGAGAGTATTTTTAAGAACGTAAAAACGAGAAAAAAACAATGTAATTAGATTAATTAAAAAAAGAATAAAAATATTTTTATTCAACTTATTTATAAATGATGGATTGAATTAAAAAATAAAATCAGAAGTAAATGAGTAAAAAATTTGAGTCCGATAGCGATATTGAGTTTTACATATCGACGTTCTAATTAGGAAATTGTCTAACTCCATTTTAGAGAATCTTCCATTTGTACGAAAAAACAATTAGTTAAAAATTTATTATCACTTTAGAAAACAATTTAATATCTAATAGAAGTATAGTATTTTAGTTTGGATCATTCAAATAATTTATAATTGGATTATTGCTACATCAAAATTTTTAAAATTTACTCCAAAAAATAAAGAGTTAGACCAATTGCTAATTAGACCATCGATATGTACGTTTAGTCTATTTAAATTTTCCAAGCACGATTTATTTAGTTTGTTAAAAAAAAAAAATTTGTTAATTTAAAAGTTTAAATTTTTTATAAAAATTACAATTAGAGTTACCATGTCAATTATATGAACAATTACTAGATTATTATTTTATTCGATTTTTCTGATATGATTCGACGGTAGATAAATTTTAAATTTCGAAATTACAGTAAGCGATATTACATTAGAAAGTATAAAAGCCACAATTTATAATTTAATATCTAAAATAAGTGATTAGTAGCTGTCACGATAGTAAATAACGACTCTTTCATCTTAAAAAATTACAGTTTCAAACAGTAAAAATTCCCATTTCAATATATAGTCCATATTATGAGGAGAAGGGCAACTCAGATGAGGAGAAGGGGGTCTCACTCTGGGAGAATTTAACATTTGAAACAGTAAAAATTATACTTTTAAAATATACATTTCACCAGTCCAAGCAAGTCAATAATTACAGTTTGATTTTTAGCGTTGGGTTTAAAATTTACCATTTTACTTTGTAAATATTGATGTTGCTTGTATTAGAAATTTACTAACTTTATTTTATACTTTTGACATATCATAAGATCATTTTTTAGATACGAAATGATAAATATCAAAGTCTGAATTCTTAATTATTATACTTTAACATTTTAGATATTTACATAGCGAATATTACTGTTTGAAATAGTATTTTCTTCCATGTAAAGAGTAAATTGTAACGTTTAAATTGTAAATATTATAAAGTGAATAGTAAAATCACGATTTTACTGTTTGAAATAGTTATTTTTAGCAGTTGATCATTACTTATTATAAATCGACTGTTATTTATTACAGTTTACTTTTTTCCGTGCAGTATTAAAGAATTAAATTGTAATTTTTCTGGCCAATAACACTCAAAAAGCCCTACTTGACGTCGATATATTTAATTGAGCAAAAAAACATATTCAGTTCCGTAATTTTCTACATGTCAACGTCATTAACGAGAAGCAACACATTCTCAGAGTAAAACCGGCACAAAAAATTAACTTGGCAGTTATTGGGTGTACATTATAAATAACACAAAAATTCCTTACTCTGCCACAACTTTCAGAAGCGGTAAAATAATATAATTATTATAAATTTAATTAACATTCCTTTAAAAAAAAAAGTACACATCCACAGATTCGGTAGAATCTGGCGCCAAGTTCCGTTCAAATCCGTTGTAAACGGAGCGCCAGACTACCGAGTGTGTTTACTGTAAGCAGAACGGTATTTCGAGGTTGCAAAATTTTATTTAATTCTACGGTAATTTTTTTTCCTAAATTTTATATTATAACAGTAATTCATACTTTATTTTACTGATATAAATTAATTACATTTAATTATAACAACTAATCTACTTGAAATTATTAAATTTAATCAGCACAAACTATAGCAACGCAAAAATTTCGATCCTGACTTTTTTTCGATGGGCAAAGTGATCTGCCACAGACTAAATAATTCGAGAATGCATAGTAATCCTTCATCAGATGGGAAACTACAGTTAAAAAAAAAAAGTTATTTCAGAACTTGCATCTACACCCGCCAGGGTGCGCCGGAATTATTTTTACATAAACTGTAGCTGCAAGGGAATAGTTTGCTATAAAAATGCAGCCAAAGCGAGATTTGAATTTGTACGAATTGTAAATTTTTATTATAATTACAAAAAATACTAAAATCCGAACAAAAACAGTTTCACAGTAAAAAAATCGCGCCAAGTTCACGTTCATAAGACTATTAAGAAAAAAAAAATTAGTTTTTTCTTTACAAAAAGATAAAAAATAAAAAAATTAAAAAATCCTCGTAACCGATATAATTGTTTATGATTTTCAGAAATTAAAAAAAATTTTGTTGTAAACTATCTCGTCATATTGTGCATTTCAATTTTTTTAAAGTCCTAGTAAATAGATTTTACGAATTTAATCAAAAGTAAAATATTTCGCAACAACGCACACTAAATACGTTCAAAAATTGTTTTTTTAATTTTTAAATTTACAAAAAAATTTTTTTTAATTTCCGAAAATAATAAACAATCATATCGGTTACTTGGACTTTTTAATTTTTTTATTTTATATCTTTTTGTAAAGAAAAAAAACAATTTTTTTTTCTTAATAATCTTATGAACGTGGACTTGG